CATTATAGATGATGTAGAACAAGTGGATGAAACGGAAGTACAACTAGTGCATGAAAGAAAAAGGAATGAAGGTAATTAATTGTTTATCATTCATTAAAATTAATCATAGATAAATATATCTAGTGGGAATTCCATTAGGACGAAATGAAGAACTACCAGGTATATAGTTTTGTATTATTTGTATTTTTTTTTATTATTCTTTTTTCTATAGCACGGGTACAAGTTAATGAACGACCGAGTACGTCATATTTTTAGAATGAATGAAACGACAAAAAAAAAATATAATTTTATTTAAATAGAACCAAAAGCTCTGGATATTGAAGTTGTCTTTCAATCAAATGATGGTGAAAAACGAAATTGGATTGAAGGTATCACTTTAATTTAACATGAATTGGGATACGGGTACTAAAACAAAATTTTGAAAATTTAATTTTGTCTAACACTGACAAACACTTATAGGACGAGATGGCAAACATAAAGAAGAAAATGAACCACATTTTCACTCACTTCAGTATAATCGAACAAAATCTCAAGAAAATCGATTTGTCGTTCCTTCAGCAGCAAAGAGAAAACCTAAACTTAGTAAGATATTTTATTTTATTTTATTTCTTTTAATTCAATAGAAAAATAGATATAATTGTATCAAGAATTGTTCACTGAAAAATAAATTGAAAACGTGTTACTAGAGTTCATCGGATAGATCTCAGATCTAACGGCCGCTACTCTGAAAGTTAGAATCAATTATAAATTAATTTCTATAAGATCACCTTGAAGATTCCTGAAGAGATGTGTAGGATGTGTTCATCATCGAACATAAATAATTAGACAGTGTTTCAAAAGCTCGAACAAAAAACCGTGAATACCTCTTCAGCAATTTAAGGAACTTAAATATCGTTTTTTTACAGTTTGATGACATATTCATTGAAGTTTTCAGATAAAATGTCTGTGTTTGCAGACGTCAGAATTAAAATAGTTTTACTGATGATCAAATTTGACTTAGGTATCATTGTAAAACGAAAGCTGCAAATTAAATGCGGCAAAAATGTGTCAACTGAACCACCTTTCAGCGATTTTGTCAAACTAGTAATACCGAAAACCGATCGCATTCTGAAAGATATATGGCAATTACTGAATAAAAAGTCAATGAAGTTAAGGATACTTATGAAAATAAGCCAGAATGATGCGTTCAGTCTATTACTCAAACTTGCTCATTAACCACAAACAATAACATACCGGTTTATGGTAAAACATCTGTTACTAAAGCCATACGAGGTAGAATTTGTTCAATAGTTCTACGAACAAGAGTTACATAAACCGAACACTTGATTCTAGATCATTTTCACAAACGTCATGAACTTCATCGATTTTCGATAGTACTATTTTTATAAAATCACTTGAATGTGTTGCTAATTGAACATTTAGTATGGGTACTTTTTTTTCTAAATGCAATTTGCAGCTATCATTTTACAATGCTGATTTATTTGAATTGGCCCATGAATAAAACTATTTTAATCTAACTTCTCTAAATGTCTAGATATTTTAATTGAAATATATTGAATATGTGATTAAACTTTAGAAAAAATATTTAAATCTTTTGAATTACTGAGAAGCTATTAATAGTTTGTTTTTCGTTCGGAGTTTCTTGGAATAATCTGTGATCGAAAAAGTATCTCATACCTTCGAAGCAATTACTGGACTCAAATTAAAAACTCTATTAGGAATATGAAGAATACGGTTTGACATTGGTTCCCGAAAATTTTGAAACAGTCAGCCTCTATTCGTCACCAAAGCCAATTTTATTCGAATGAACAGTTTCATTGAATGTCGTTGTTTCGAAATTTTTTCAATCAGCATTATAATGTCAATGTTCTCATGGGTCGTTTATTCTCATATCTTCATTCGAATAGCAATTATTTCCTCATTACTTAATATTCAGGTTATATTATTTTGTTGAATCATACATTTCGCCTTTATTTTCTGATAAAATACTTGAAAAACTATTTTAAGAGCTGAAAATTTATAACACAATAGCTTTAAGCAAAATAAATCTTCATCAGAGTAACATACTAAATCAAAAATATTTTATTTAGAAGAGTGCGTTATTCAAATATTCGGTTATAAAAGGACAATTTTGAATATTAAATGAGCATCAGTCTGTTGAGTCCAATCTTGAAGAAAATACTAGTTCGATAAATCGCTGATAATCTATCAAATTTTTCTTTTTTCTTATTAAATTATTTACTCTAATATTTCTCTTTTAAGAACCAAGATTAAGTTTATATCGTGATGATGACGGTGATTGGTTAGACAAGGTTATCACTGGTTTTCTTGTTTTTATCTTATTTATGATTATCATTTATTTGATACTAAACCATAAGAATAAAGTAAATAAATTATTTTTCAAAAAAACTAAAAGAAAAAGGAAAACTCCCATTTTTTTCGTTAATATAGATATTAGGTTTGATAATTGAAGGATGCAGACGACAACGTGTAATACATGGACGTCGTTTTGGTGTAAGTTCTAGTACAACACGTCTTACTCGTTCAACGCATTCGATTTAAAAAACGCTATTAAATAAAAACAAACATTTATAATCTTTTCTTTTTTTTCGAGAAATTCTTATTTGAATTTTCTTAACTTTTTTTTTGTGTAAAGTTAATTTTTATTTATATTGAAATATTCCATCGTGACAATTAGAGAACAATATAATGCAAGTCTTATTCTCAATAAATTTATATAAATTTGATGAATCATTCTGTATTGTTTTTTTTAAATGTTGAGCTTTTGCAAACAATCTGTATCATTATAGTATATTTTTTCTTTTCTTAGTAATTCGTACTAATCATATATCATTAAAAAACATTATCTTTTTTGTCATTATTGAAAATTAATAAAGAAAGGATGAAAAAGAAGATTTAATAGATGATACATAATTTAATTAATTATTATTTTGATGTATAAGAATAATTTTTTGATGTATTTTTGAATCTTACTTCAATATCCGAACTTAGCTCAGCTGGCAGAGCGGTAGGCTGTAATGGTGTAATCATAGTAACCTATAGGTCCCCAGTTCAAATCTGGGAGTTCGGATTCGATATTTTTTTCTTTCTTTTTTTCCTTTCCTGTGTGTTTATATGGTAATAGGGTTACAATGATGAAAATATTTATTTTTGAAATAACTGAGCAATGAAAAGAAGTAGGAATTTGAGATTTTTTTTTCATCATAGATTTTTAAAAAATTCACAAAATTTCAAGATTTTCTTTTTATGTAAAATTTTACCTTAATTGAAAAATAAAATATCCAAATTATGTTCGAGATTTAGCTAATATACAAACATTATTTAGTGTATATTTGACTAATTGAACCAGCTGTAATTATTGAGTCAATGTGAAAAATATGTCATAGAGGAAAAACCATTTTTTTCTAATTTAGTCTTATGTTTATGTAAACAGTTTAACGCATCTGATTTAATCCACTTTAGGAATAAAATTTTAGATTGATAATTTTGCATTGTGAGTATCTTACAAATTTATTCATCTTATAATTCTTTGATTAAATCTATTTGAATGTGTCTATTCATTCATTGTTTTCAGGAATACCAGCTGTATGAGTATAATACGTTGAAAGTGGCGCCAAAAATAGCGTTATCTTGGATGAATTATACCTCAGAGCTGGCAGGCTTGACTCTATGTATGTTATTTCTATATTTGCTAGTCAAAATGAATAGTTGATTGCTGTATTAAGCATATTAATCTTATGTGAGGGTGTCATTAAGCTGCAAATAAACATCAGTCCTCTTAAAAATAGTAAAGCAGTAATTATATACACATGTATAATGCACTACCGGAAATGAACATTATGTTTTTGTTACCCACGTGTATGAAAGCTTTCATCAATGATGCAATTATTACGAGATACATGGACCATCAAGACTAAATTATGGCTCATGGACTAATGAATTTTATTATCATAATTGAGCTGTTATCCTTTACAAATGTATAGAAAAAAAAAGGATTCTATATAAATGCAAAAAAAGGAAAGTAAGAGCTGTATTTTGTATAGCAACAGTGTTAAAAACCAAATGATTTATGCAAAACCACACCATATTTACGATTTTTATTATAGACCCAAAATGTAATATTTAGTTTTTAAATTAAAAACAAAAATCTTGTGACAGGCATCTGAAACATAGCGAAATGAGAATTCTCAAAAGAATCTCTGTTTATTCGCTATAGTAGAACAATTCAACGGTAAAGTGATTATTCTTCTAAGCTTATCATAAAACCCTTACTGACATAGCTTGATAATCATGTTCTTCAGTGTATAGCTACCACATAATTACTGTATTCACGCATTGGACAGCTTATTTTATGGTTAGTCACTTCAGATTATTCATCAGATAGCCTCATGGAAGATCATTACAAATTCTTTTGTTGTCTTTGTTCATACTCATTTGATTGATTTTTTGGTAGTGTGCAATGTACTCGAATAGCATCGAAAGATAGTTATCATCTTACAGATCCAATTCTTATCCTAATTTTTGTAATTCATCGTTAAAATAAATGCCAAGATTTGTAGTAAAATTGTCAATAAAAATCCACCTATGAAGTTGCTGTGCTACTAATAACAAATCAACTTATTCAAAACTTGTCTACTATAGAGTTAATATCAGACTCTCGGAAATAGTTTGGTAACGTTATCAATTCTACGTAGTATTGATCATCACAAAATAGAGCTTTCTGAAAAGCATTCTATTGCTTGGAAATATTTTACTTTTAGAAACTTTTCATCACTAAAATTTGCCTAATGGTGTTTTTATTTCTTTTTTTATTCGAATATGAATTTAATTTAACTTTTGCAGCTGAATAAAACATACAACAATTCAATTCGAACGAACATTGAAAACATTTCATCATTCACTGTACATATCAAAACTTAGTATACTTAATAGTAGATGTTTTTCATTATAGTTATTTCGTATCAAATGAAGATTAAGTATTATGTGAGACCAATAAGTGATTTCATCAATGGATATAATTCCATTACTTTGCCTTGTTTGTTTAGTTTTTCTCGATAATCTTTCGGATTTCTTTGAACTTTAAATAAATCATTAATGAGACGTATCATTTTAAACACTGCTGTATTAAATGAAAAACGATCAATTAAATAACGGAAAAGTAAATCAACATATTTAAAATGTGCATTTAATACACGTTGAGGATCGGACGAATTCCAAATTTGGTCATTGTTTATTGAGACGCCTTTTAGAAATATTAAAACAAGTATAAGTATTTGAATAATCAATCTATCATTATCAATAGTATTAACAATTGAACAAAGAATAGATAGATAGTCTTGTGTTGCTTTATAACCATAAAATAGAATATTTAAACATTTATGATATTGAGCAAAGATTTCATCCTTTGATGATATTGATGTTGATCCAGTATCATCATACAATCAATCACTTTTTAGATCGAATACTAAAGCATCTCGTAATATAAGTAATGGAAGAAAATTATATTTAATAAGTATTAAACGATCTTGATCATATAATGATTCAAATTCAGGATTAATCGAAGAAAATTAATAAGTTTTATTCGAAGAAATTTTTCTATTTCAATTAAATCAATATATGAGAATGGTTTATTTAATGATTCAGCAAATGATATAACAGATGAAGCTGATGAATTTAATTGTAATGCATAAATATAAGCATTTCGAATATATGATAAAGAAGAATGATTGATATTATTTAAAAGAAATGATGAATTTAATGAAATATTATTAGTCTAGAAAAAATAAGATATCATGTTAGCTATTATTTTTTTTACTTCTTACCGGTCCACATTTTTTCGCATGTTTTGTGATTTCCGTTGAATGAAGTTGACGATTTCGTGCATTATGCCATTTTTTTGGATAATTTTCTTTTTTGTTTTATCAAATGATCTTTACACATGCCTAAATTTTAATTAGTATTATTAAATATAGCAAAAAAAAAACGCTAATACTTGAAGAAAAATAGTTTTTCCTGAAATGATTCAATTTTATTGGTTAAATAAAAAAAGATGAATGCATACTATCGACGAAAGAATTCTATATAATAAGTTATACAAGTAATGACTTAATTGGAAACTTATTTATGTTTGGATTTTCCTTTACATGAACGACATGAAACCTGCATAAAATTATAACTTGATATAGGAGCTATACAAATGACACATGTTAAAGCAACTTGACGTGGTTTTTGTAGTTGAATATTTTCGAAGAATCAGTCGATCTGTTGTATTCCTTTAACGAAAATAATACTTTAATACTTGTTAAAAATCAGTACTTCTTGAGATAAAAATCGTTTATGTTCTTTTTTTCTCTTTATTTGATTTCAACGGTGAAAAATGTAATTATTTCGACTTAAAATATCTTTATGTTTATCAGTTTGTAATAAAAAAAGGTATTGTTGTTTTAGTTTATAAACAAAGATTATATGATGAAATTTCACAGCTACTCCTATGTATGTATTGATGTAAACAATCATAATGAAAACCTTTCATCCATAAACATGTTTATATAATGTTCTTTATTTGATGTGAGTCATATGTATGCTTTTAGACAAAATAAAAGGACTCACAAGAAAAAAGAATGTAAAAAAATCGAAATGCGTTTAACACTACTAAAACGATAATATTATTGAGTATATATCTTGATTCTACTAAATTGACATGAGTCAATCTTTTTTTTAAACATATGGTATTAATTATTTGAAGAAATTTCCCTACGGTTCTTATTGGACTTTGTAAAATGTCAAAGATTTAAATGAATATGAAAAAATGTACGAAGTCGAAAGTGCCACTGTCTCACTTCATTTAAAATCACACAATTGTACTATTTTAATTCTTTTCATTATTAACAGTTACTTTATAATTATAAAACTGATAAATTTGAATTGTATATATTAAAAAATCGTTAAACAATAAAATATTTTCTAAATATTGTTTATAATCAAATCCACCAAAGCAAACCAAATTTATTTATAGTTGTTGAAATATAATTTTTGTAATTTTCGATAGAATAATTGTATGAATGATAATTACAATAACCGCTGTCTTTGAATATGAAATGAGGAAATTAATAAACAATACAAAAGGCTATGTTAAAGAAGCGATTTTATCTAAACGATGTGCTCGAAACATACAATTGATAGAGTATCAATAGGAAACTTTAAAAAAAAACAAAGTGTTCACAAACGTGTCTTGTTGTACCTACATAGTGATTTTATCATAGAATACTATATATTTGTTAATAAATCTTGTGAAAGAAAGAAAATTTGTTGCTTCGTGTTCATCAAACAAGAAGTTTCAATTTCATCTAGTGAAAATTAAAGTTTTAGTTTTGACCACGACATGTAGATATATATATATATATAGAGTAATAATATTTCCTGATTTATATACAGATCAATGAGAAAGACTAATGACATGTTAATCAAAAAGATTATAAATATATATTTTTTTGTACTAGTTATTGTCAATAAAATGCATTCAAAGAGTAGATGAAAAATGTTTATCAAAAGACTAATAGTCTATTTGTAACAATAAACAACAGTTTTCAACATCATTGAATATTGAATAAAAAAAATTAGGTTGTTTTTTGTATGATGTTCTTTTGTGAAGACATTGCTTGAAATTTGCTGGTAACATATAGTTAACTTTGATTTTTATGATTTTTGACAACTTAAACAACAAATAAAGAATACTGAGCCTTTTCTTCAATGATAATAATTGGAGAATAGAAAACCTTTTACTTGTAAGAAGCATGTTTCAAAACTGCGTAAAGCGAAGCACTTTTTATTTTGTAAGAGACTGGATAGATTTATCTCTCTCTCTCTTATCAGTATGTATATTAATAGCAACACAGTTGTCTTTATACTAATCAGTTTTATTACTAGCAAATTTTAGCATGCAAATATTTCTTGTGCTTGCATTCGTAATGGTGAATTGTTTACTGGAAACTTTACAAGCCAATCGAACAATTATAGTTCGTACTAAGTATCGTGATGTACTTGGTTATGAGACAAATATGGCTCGTATTTTTTATGGAATTTCATATGCATAACCACCTATTGGTGACTTGAGATATGCTGTTATTTTAAAATATTTATGATAATTGTTTCATATGGGATTCATAGATGGAAGCGATCAGTGCCAATTTCGAAATGGACTTCGAAAGTGTTGAATGCAACAACACGGGTTTCAGCTTGTCATCAACCACCATGTGTTGGAATTTCTTTATTTCTTTGTCCTACAATAGTAGATAAATACACGATCTATTTTATTATTACTTTTAATATTATCTATTATTTTTTCCCGTCGATTTAGTACTCTGAAGATTGTCTTTACCTGAACATATTTACACCACTATTGAGTGATTCATCATCAACATCTCGTTTACCAGTTATGATTTTTATTGCTGGTGGTAATTTCCAATATCTTGATGCGTCGGTACCAGTCTACGAATCTGAACGACTTGTTAATACAACGAATGTCATTATTGCTCTTATTCAATATCGTCTTGATAAATACAAAGTAACATAGTAGATTCACATTTTTTTATCAAATATTTAAAAGGTGTACTTGGTTTTCTTGAAACGGCATCTAAACCAAATGATATAAAAGGCAATTATGGTCTTCTTGATCAACGATTGGCTATTGCTTGGATTAAAGCGAATATTGATGCTTTCGGTGGAGACCCTAAACAGGTTCTATATATAGATCGAGGATGAATTTAAAAAATTTTCATATATATTTTTTTTTACAGATAACACTATTTGGTCAAAGTGCTGGAGCACAATCAGTGGCATTGCATCATATAACAAGTGAGATGCAATCCTGCTTTCAGGCGAATATTGTTCAAAGTGCTCCAATGGCAATCCTATTTCGGTAATAATAATGACCATTGAATATGAAATGGTAATGTTTTCTTTGAATTCCGAACTTATGAACAATATATTACACCTGCTACTCTTCTTGCTGAAGCACTTCATTGTGCTATTGGAGATATAAGCTGTTTGCGCAAAGCATCTTATCAGGATATAGCTGCTGCTCAAATAAAAGTAAATACCATGTTGCCTTCGTTGGAATTTTTACTATTTTTTCAGCCATGGGTACCAGTAATTGACAATACTATTGTAAAAGATCATCTTATGGAAATAGTGAAGAATACATCTTTTCCACTTAAACCACTTGTAAATGGTACATTGACTGAAGAAGCAATTTTTTACGTCTATGAAGCATGGGTAAAACCGATCACATTGTCGTTTTATCCTGAAATTATACTTTTCACGTTTCGTGCAAATGCATTTAAAATGATGGAACGTTATCCACCTATTGAAGTTGACGATCTACGGCCACTCAAATGTCAAATGGCTATACAATGGGTATTAGCATGTCTGACACGTATTTATGCTCGTCAAGCTGCTTCATATTCGCATGTTTTTGGTTTTCCACTTGATTTTGATGGATGGGAAAATGAAACGTTTTGTGATCATCATGTCTGTCATGCTGGTGAACTACCTTATACATTTGAATCCGTATGGGTTAATTTTGCAGACGCTGGCAAACGTGTTGCAATGAGTATGGCTACTTATTGAACTAATTTTACCAAAACTTATGATACAAACCAACCCGTATCACAGTCTATAGTATGACCAAAAATGAATACTGATGAACTTTATTTGTACTTTCAAGATCCACTAGATGTTCGAAACGCTTATTTGAAGGATGAATGTGACTTTTGGGATGAAATTGGTTACAAAACAATCCCTTCAATCTATGTCTAATCTATGGATTCCGAATGGTTGAGAAATTAAATATCGTCTATCCCTTTAATACATGTCATACGAACGAATACTCTTCAAAGACACACAATTGTTATTTTTGCAACTCTATAGATGTATCTCCTTGCCTCTTGTGATCATTTTCTTGCTGTATCCGGTTATTGTTCAAAATTTTTTGATTATTCACAAATTTGTGTGATGATTCAAATATAGAATATTTACTAAATGAATCGGAATTAAGTGAATGTTTAGGTGATGATGTATGAGCAAGACGTAGTACTTCTTAGCTGAATTTGTTAACTTTCCTGAACTTTTGAATAGTTCTTTGTGACTTTAATCTCTGTGTAAAAAGTCTTCGGACAAAATATATGTTCAATTTTTTTCCATTTTTAAGTTGCAGGAGACAATAAAAAGTAGTCAGCTAGAATGAAAATTTTGTGCTCTTTCTAAATATATAATCAGAATTTTTCACTGAGTTAAAGTTGTTTCTGAAAGAGCAAATTTTTGATAGAAATCAAAAACAATGTTTGTACAAAACACTGGTTTCAAAGGCATTGGTAACTATGTTTACTCATTTTTCAGAGACCTAACTGTAATCGAAAAGGATCAAAATCAGTTAGGCAGAAGCAAGATTTGATGCGCTTTCTAAATATATCGATAGAACTTGGCCATAGCTCACGGCTACTTGGCTATAAAGGAATACGTAACTAAGTAATTCGCTGAGAAAAATAAGCTCTTTTCTCTGACGTGCAATTTCTCATAAGGATATTTTTGACTAGTTTTTTCTGTCTAGTTTTGTAGGCAATGTCATATGCTACAAAGCTGTGGCTTCAAATATTTTATAAGTCAAAACAATCAAAATTTACAAATGATCTTCCACATAGCACTCTATAGATGAGATAAAATTTTTGAAACAACCGGTTTTTGATAGTTTTGATATCTTGAAATAGAAAGACACTGATCCTTTTCTACAATGTGTAGAAAGCAAATGAAGTTGTGCATTTTTTAGAGCAAGTTTTGCTCTACAAACCAGTGTAATAGTAGACTTTCTTATCATTAGAATTGAAGCGCTTTTAATCGATATAGAAAAATGTAGTACAAGAAAAATTCTGTACAAACATCGCTTTTGGTTCCCATCAAAGATTTGCTCTTTCAGAAACAACTTTAAGTCAATGAAAAATTCTGAATATATATTTAGAAAGAGCACAAAATTTTCATTCTAGCTGACTACTTTTTATTGTCTCCTGCAACTTAAAAGTAAAAGAAAATTGAATATATATTTTGTCCGAAGACTTTTTACACGGAGGTCAGTGGTCTTTTTCTCAGATATGGTTAATGTCTACCTAGATATATTAATTTTGTTTCCTTCATATAGAGCTACTTTGCATGTCTATGATAATGATATGAAAAATGTGACAAGATAAGAAGTTGTTACAGAATAGGATGAAAATCATATTCTCTTTTTTCTCATACAAAGATAAAAGACGAACTGACGTGACCTATTTATAGTTGCCTATGTAAGCTTGCCAACTCACTCGAGAAACCTCTCTGATGTCTGATTTCTCGCACGAATCAACTTAGTCAAACAATCGTACTAGTTGGACAACTGTATCTTAATCGAAATCCGTACGATTTTATCAAAGACCAATGAGTGGCCGTTTTCTCTTTGTTTAAGAGAATAATATTTGTTTAAAAACTCAATGAATTCAATGACTTTAATTCTGTAAGGTACAACAAGTAGATAAAAAAATGTAAGAACCATTATTTGGAATAAATATAGGTTTTTATTATGAAATGAGTCGAGATCATGATATTGAAGATAGACATATCGTCCATGTATGCTTGCTCTTCTACAAGCTGTTTTATATTCCTATTCTCTTTAGATTCTTTTTGATCTGTCTGCATTTAAAATTGATTACATTGCAGAACTCTTGCACAAGATAAGAGTGTTGTTTTTTTTGCTGTGTTATTGCAAGTAAGCTGCTGTATTTTTCATCTTCGTAAATAATGTGACAAAAAACGTCTTATCATTGCACTCTACTGATATGACATATAAAAATGCAATCACCTTTTCAATTATATTTTCATTTGTGTTTTGACAACAGAGAAGTAACATACAACAAAAATGAAAATAATTTTTGTCTTCTGTCTCCTTTTCGTGAACGTTTATTGTGTACACGTCTTTGAAGAACAATTGAACGATTCATGGACATTATTTAAACGTATTTTCAAGAAAGAATATGCATCAAAAGAGGAAGAAATTGTTCGGTGAGCAAAGTACATTATTTGTAATTGTTACAAATAGCACTTCTTTCTTTGCTATGATATCAATAGACGAACAATATGGGAAAAAAATCTTGCTAAGATTCGTAAACACAATCTCGAATCCGATATGGGTCTTCATAGTTACACAATGGAAATGAATCGTTTCGGTGATTTGGTACGTCTTTTAGGTTTATTGATTTTGTTAGTAGACACTTTATTGTATAGACTCATGAAGAATTCAAGAAACAAATGAATGGATTTAAGATAAGTACCAATGTTGATCAAAGCAAATATGATCGTCATATGTTTTTGGCACCATCAAATGTTGTTATTCCAGATCAAGTCGGTAAGTATTTTCATTGAATAACTTTTCCCATGAATAAAAGATATTCAACATCTGTGGGTCTACATAGATTGGCGTAAAGAAGGATATGTTACTCCTGTTAAAGATCAAGGCCAATGTGGATCATGTTGGGCTTTTTCAGCTACTGGTTCACTCGAAGGTCAGACCTTTGCTAAAACCAAAACACTTCCTTCACTCTCTGAACAACAATTGGTCGATTGTTCGAGCAAATTTGGTAATGAAGGCTGTGATGGTGGATTGATGAATAATGCCTTCGAATATATCAAACAAAACAACGGTATAGATTCAGAAAAGAGTTACCCATATCAAGCCTATGATGGAAAATGTCGTTTCAAACCAGAAGATGTTGCTGCCACAGATATTGTGAGTGCTATCTATCAAAAGAAAATAACAAGTCATTATATACGATTTCCATAGGGTTTTGTTTATGTCAAGGAAAAAAATGAAACTGACCTCACGATTGCAATTGCTACAGTCGGTCCTATTTCAGTCGCTATTGATGCTTCGCAAGACTCATTCCAATTTTACTCGGGTGGCATCTATAATGAACCAATGTGCTCGTCGACTGACCTTGACCATGGTGTGTTGGCTGTTGGATATGGTAGTGAGGGAAAGAAGCATCCAACTGATTATTATATTGTAAAAAACTCATGGGGTGAAGGATGGGGTGATGGTGGTTATATTTTAATGCTTAGAAATTCGAATAATCAATGCGGTATAGCCACTATGGCTAGTTATCCACTTGTTTAAATTTGTAAGCTTTCAATGTGAAAACATTACCACATTGTTTGTTTTTTTCATTTGTTTCAATAAAGTTTAAGTGAACATCGAACAAGAAGGTGAAAGTTTGTTGTTTGAGTAAGAATATATAACATCTAAACGTGGCATGCAGTATCCATTTTAATCTGAGGAAATGAATATAATGAATTGATTTCAGTAACGCTCATGATGGTTGACCAATCCAGTTATAAGACAAACCATTAGTCAAGGCTATCCTACCATATTTCAAAGAGTTGAGTTACTATTGTTCTTGTTGACGTACTTTACTTCTGCAAACGTATAGAAAACTTTGTGGTCTCAATTATTAAGGAAAGTTTCTTGATTAAAGACAGATTTTAATGTAAACTTTCGTTATCGTTGATAACGAAAAAAAATTAGCAATGCGACCAATGTGTAGCTGATTACTTTATCTTATTCCAGAATAATATGAAATAGTCCTCTTCATTTTCAAAAACGACTTAGCTCGACACGTACGGATTTCTCCTATCTTTCATCTCATTTTTTTATTATTCATACTTCTTACTTATTTTCAATACAAATAGAGCTGATGCTAGGGAGAAAAAGCCTTTCGTTTTACATAGATGACAAGTCTTTACTAAGATCTGAATATAGACTCATTCAATGCCTATCAGTAAATAGGTCTTTGATGAAAAATTTCTTTTCACATACAAAATATGATGACTTTACATTGAAGATGACAGAAGAAAAGCATGCTGGCATTACATGATTGAAATTTGCAGAGATGTCATGGGCATTATCCATTAAGATGGTCGCTCTAAGATATATTCGACGAGTTCAAAACTTGCCTTCTAAAGAGAGGTATCAGTGGACGCAGAGAATTTTAGACATATTCTTACACAGAGCATACCAAAAGTAATGGTGCCTACCCTATAATATTTTACAGAAGACTCCAGGTAGTTTTTTCTATAATATTCTTATAGTCTAATTCGTGTTCTATTAATTCTACAGTATTTCATAAATCTTTAAAGGATAGTATAATATTGAAAACATAGCAAAAATAGTGAGTGATTCACAAAAGACTTTTGTTTAAAGCAAGTTTATCAAGTTTTTATTACATCAAATGTTCAAAATAATCACTTTGGTTGTTTACACATAACTGCATTCGTTGAATCCATTTATTAAAAATTTTTTTATACTCTTCTTTTTTCAACGACTTCATAAATTTGATTACAGATTCGTACAATGATTCGGAATCATCTTGATCGTCAATATTTTGTTTGATCAAATGAAACAACCAAAAGTAACATGGAGCCAGGTATGAAGAATTAGGTGGATGTGGCATTATTGTTACGCCTTCCGATTCAAGATAATTAACTAAGTCTTCATGAATATGTGGTTTTCCATTATCATGATGAAGTTTAATTGATCGAATATCTAAGGAAGGTCGTTGGTTCTTAATTTCATCAATAACAGCTTGCAAACAATTATTGATGTAATATTGATGATCGATTGTTTCTCCACGTTTAACAGAATGAATTAAAACTGGACCAATTGACTTCCCAGGTCAATCGTTCCGGTCACCGGATACTGCAGGAACCGGCAGGAAAGACGCGGAAAAATCGCCGGTTCCTGCAGGAAAACACCGGAAATCAACGGAACATGGAAGCAGTATTCCGGCCGGACTTTTTCCGGCGGATTTCCGGCCGGTTCCTGCCGGAAAGAACAGGAATTGGCTGGAATCCATCGGAAAAAAATCCGAAAAATTTCCGGCCGGAATACTGCTTCCATGTTCCGTTGATTTCCGGTGTTTTCCTGCCGGAACCGGCCGGTACTTTTCGACCTGGGTTAAACAAAATAGACAGGAGAGTTCTTGGAACAAAACGAATACGTCGAACCACCGTCAGTAGAGGATCTTCACTTCCAACCCAAGCAGCATTCGATGACTTTCGACTGATTTGCTTGTGATAAAATCATGATTCATCACTTGTCACTACATGACATCATCTCCAAACACCTTGTTCATATTTTAACAAGTTTTCTTGGTATATTCGTACTTGTTCAGCCTTTTGAGAGTTCGTCAGATGTTTGAGAACATAACGTACAGTAATTTTTTTCAACTGTGGATGATCAGAAATAATTCGTTGAACGGTGCCATAACGTAGACCATTTTGTGCTTCGAGTTCGTCAATTGTACCATAAGAATCATCATTAATAAGATTGCGAACTTATTCAATATTTTCAGATGTGGTCTCCATTATAGGTCAGCCAGCTCTTTCTTCATCTTCAACTTCTTATCGACCTTCACGAAACCATTTGACCATCTTTGAACAGTTCTAAGAGGGGGAGCTTCATCATCAAAAGACAATATATAGTTCATTATGAATAACTATGGATTGAATATGAAGTGCACTACGTATTTTAATATAGAAACGAAAATGTTCTTCATCCATTTGAAGAGAAGCGAACAGTTTTGATCGTATTATGATCTACATTAGAAACACCATGCTACATTGTCTTGGACGTATTATTTCTTTTCTCCTCTTTTTTTCTATTAATCTTCTCTTCTCTTCTCTTTTCTTTCTTTTCTTTACCTTTTTACCTTCTCTGATATTTAGCTGCGTTTATACAGATAAAACACACGTGCTCTGTTTCTTTTGTGTGTATGTGTGTACAGTTAGTTCTTGTGCATTCTGAAGATGATAATTTATAAAGGTAACACCAAACTTTAGTGTATCAAAATTTTTGCTAATGTAATATCACTTGAAGATTCATAAAATATTGTACAATTATAGAGCACGGCTTGGGCTATCAGAATATACAGAAAAAAATTCCTGAAGCCTTCTGTAAAATACTATAGGGTCGGCGTCATTACTTTTGGTATGCCCTAAGTAAAACACGCAATTAATATAGTCAATTATACCTGTTTATTAATAAAATAAAAATATACTCATATTTATATAATATAGCAAATAACCACAAATATGAATTATATTGCAAGTAAGGACTATTTCTTACTCATGCATTTACAAGACTTTAAATAAAAATAAATAAATAATGTCGATTCTAATCTCAATTCCAAACTCAAATGCAACAACTCTGTAATGAATCAACTGGATTTGCTGAGTGCCAAAAATTCTTCACGTGCTTTGTGATCAGTACGAAAGACACCAAGCATCGAAGATGTTGTTGTGCGTGAATTTACCTTTTGAACTCCTCGCATGACCATACACATATGACTGAAAAAAATATGGCAAAATAGATATCGTATTAATGTTTCTACTTTCATTATGTATACTTACACACATTCGATGATAACAGCAACGCCTCGTGGCTGTATGACTTCTTCAATTGCTTCAGCTATCTCTCTTGTTAGCCGCTCTTGAACTATAATAAGAACAAAATAGAAATCTGATATACTGCTAAAGCTAACCTTGCAGACGGCGACTAAAAATTTCGACGATTCTTGAATCACAAGAGAATCAATTCATATGTGTACATATAAGTTTATGCTGTAAAGAAACTATTGCTTACCTTGCTACTTTACTCAAACCAAGCACTGTCTTTTTAGGTAAATATCCAACTGAGACTTTGCCGAAAAAAGGAACTCTAAAATAAGTATGAACAGTAAAGATATGTCAAATGAATATATAAAGCTCTTACAAATGATGTTCACATAGTGAAAAAATATCAATATCTTTGATAACGACCATATTTTCGCATGGCTCATCAAAAATTGCATTTTTCACAACATCAGTGATTGACTGTTCATAGCCTTTAGTGAAAAATAACATCGCTTCAGCGGCACGCTTCGGTGTCTTTAGAAGACCTATGAATAAAATCTACCACACAGCAGAAAATGCATACATTGAATTACCTGGACGTGAAGAATCTTCGCCAATGGCATTAATTATGTCTTGGTAATGTTTACCAATGACTTCAAGACGTATATCGTGAACCGAGCTAGTATCGTGTTCGCGCAACGCATTGTGGTCGACTACACTTACATGGGATGTTCCGTTACACAATTTTTGTTTTTTCTTTTTGACAGCAGATGTGTCCAAAGTATTTGGAGCTTTTTCAGTCGACTGGTCTGAATTATGAGTTTCAATGGTAATTAGATTCACTCCTTCAGCTGTTAAGTCGTCATTTTGCGTCATCAAAGAGCAACTTTCTAAAACAAATGTTGAATATGTTTTATCACTAGGGTTTCTCGAGAGATTTTCGCGAAAAACATTTATGTGTCAGGCAAAGTTGAAATTTAGGCACAATAAAGCAGAGCTTTTAAAACATCTAAAAACTAAAAAGGTTGAATAAGATGAGAAGAAGGAACTAATCGTATATATTTATATTAAGTAATGTTTAACTTTAAATGAAATCTAATTAAATCTAGGAAGTTGTAGAGTTTGCAAGTGTTCTCGATTGAAATTTAGTTTGAATCAGCAAGCTTCTATATAAAACATTAGAAAATATTTTTAAACTTATGATTTTTAATTATTATTTTTTATCGATATTTATTGATCTTCGAGTTTAGCGTGTTAGTAGACGATATGTCAAATATAGATGTGTGATGCTAATAAATTTTTTGAAGCCATTTATTAACCAAAAAAAAACATAATGGATATTTTAGCTTGTGTATTTTCTCTGGTAGTATCCATACCTGCCTTCTCTTAGAATTTAATACTCTGAAAATTTAAAATGCAACTTCACTTGTTCATAAAGATACTTTGGAAACCTATTCTCGGATGTCAACGCAGCAGTAGTTATTGATGTATACATTCAAGTATGAATAAGTGAAAATGAATACTCTCTCTAGTAAAAAGAAGCATATACATGCTATGCTTTCTTAATATAAACGAAAGTTCGACTGTATTGTTAGATAAAACGAAAATATTTTGTGCTTTTGCGCCTAAATAAAATCGAATTCGACCTAAGTTTAATTTTGTCTGTTATAAACATATAATAGCCTACGAAAAATAAATTTTCTACCTTCTGTTTTGTTTACCACGTCT